ATAGGCCTACTGCTGAAATAACTGTGCTGATTCACAATGTCTCAGTTCCGATGCATTTATAAACGTGACAAGCACAACTAGCCCTAATTGCTGGTTGCTTTATCAATTTCACTACACCCAAAGGCTGCTCTGTGCACTACTAATTAGTAGTAATTATATATCCCATACTAGAATGCACACAGAGGGCTTTATGGCAACACTGGTATGGCATGAGAGTAGTGCCTTCATCACTGAAGTGTGAAAAAATATTAATGGCACATTATTAGGGTAATTGAGCATCTGGTAAAACTCTAACCGCCTGTTAACAACAAGGCAATTGATAAGGCTTGACATGGAATCCTTGATCCAAGTTGTCCCTCTTAGCTAATACAAATATGACTTAGCATGACAACATTGGGTCAGGACCTCTGAGATGGAAATGAGCAAACTATGAGACTTTATGACACATTGATTTCTGTAGAAATAAGAAAACCCACTGAGCGCAATGTCGATAATACAAAAATACACACGCACGCATGTGCAAACACACGCACGCACACACTGAGTTCTAGATCAGTATAGTCATGTACTCCCCTTGGCTATACAGGCTATCCACTTCCCACTTAGTGTTTTCAACGTGATTCAACCTGACTTCTCCAATCTTCACTGGAATATGGGACCATTGCACTGAGAAACTGTGATGTTAACAAATATCGCCAAAGCAGTTGGACGGTGCTGTGTGTTTCTGTTTAAGCTATAACAGCGAAGCATTTGCATTTTAGTGGCATGAGAAAGGCTCACTCCACAACGGTTAAACGTGACCACATGATCACTCGCAATTCGGGATCAATGATCTCAAACAATGTAGTGAACAATAAGTCATTTTAACACAGAATCAGAAACATGTGCACTGTGGGGTACTCATGGTCAGATTTGAGAGAAGTGCTGACTGTTCTGGACAGCCTTGAGCTGTAGTACAGCCCGGAAATAACTTCAAACCAAACTCACAGTGCTGTTTCTCGATAGAGAACCCTCCTTTGTAAGCCACGGCTGGCAGGAAGTCAATAGCATGTATTAAACTACCCATAATGCTCTCCAGTCATCGATAGCCCTAAGTGAGTGCATATGGTGTCTCAACATTGGATTTGTTTGATCAGGTTGAGATTTTAATGGATTTTTAGCCGCCTCTGTCTGACAAGTCTGCGGATTGCAGCCCGGCTCAGGGAAGACTACAGGCAGCCAAAGGGTCATCTGAACCTTGTGGTTTGGGCGCAGAGTGCTTAGATACAGAGAGCGAACGCTGCTTTCGCAACCGTCGGACACTGGGAGAGTCAGGAAGTCTGGCGACTGTAACCCCCCCCCCTCCACTTAAACATACACACACTCTCAGAGACTCACTGCCCCACCCCAAACGTGCACGCACACACAGACAATCGGGATCATATTACTATATTTGTGCATAAAACTTGCACTTTTGTTTAGAATATATGCTGTGTCAATCTGTCATTGTTCGATAGCATTTAACATATTTATCCTAATTCATTAACCAAGACACTAAAATGTCTACTTTACTGATATTGATTATATCCCGGATTAAATTAAAATATATTGCTTTAATCCACACATAAAAACAACTGTGCCATTATAGCACTACTAATCTGAGTGTAACTAATCTGAGTACGGTACTAGTAGTTAGAGTTCTACTAGTACTATTCTGAGTTGGATTAGAAGAATGAAAACGTCTCCTGCCGCCTGTTGGGTAAAGAGAAACTAAAATCCAATCCACCAGATTGTCTCCAACTGGATCAAGGAGCTTTGAGGTGATTGGTATGGGATTCTGTTTGGATGAGAGACTGAATGTGAGTCTCGGTCTGGATAGAGGACTTCTGACGGTCTTGTGACGTACAGTGTGGCAAAGCAGTTCACTTTTTGTCCTGAATACAAAGTGTGATGTTTGGGGCAAATCCAATACAACACATTACTGAGTACCACTCTCCATATTTTCAAACATAGTGGTGGCTGCATCATGTTATGGGTATGCTTGTAATCATTAAGGACTGGGGAGTTTTTCAGGATAAAAAAGAAACGGAATGGAGTTTAGCACAGGCAAAATCCTAGAAGAAAACCTGGTTGAGTCTGCTTTCCAACAGACACCAGGAGATAAATTCACCTTTCAGCAGGACAATAACCCCAAAACACAAGGCCAAATCTACACTGGAGTTGCTTACCAAGAAGACAGTGAATGTTCCTGAGTGGCCGAGCTACAGTTTTGACTGTCTCCTGAGTGGCCTGAATACCCCATTTAATCAATTTTAAATTCAGGCTGTATCACAACAAAATGTGGAATAAGTCAAGGAGTATGAATCATTTCTCAAGGCACTGTAGGCACTGACTTGTGGCAGACTTGTCTCTTATGTATTTACACAGGGAACTTACATAGGGGAACTCTGCACTCATAAGGAAATTGGAAAACATTCCACGTTTTGAGTTTAAAGATTCGTATTTAATCATGTGTAGACTGTTTTAACATGGTGAAAGTGCTACATTGAAATAAAGTACATTCTGTATTAGTATTTATGTTACTCATGTTCACCCACAAAACACTGCAGATATTTTGTTTGCAGATATCAACATAGTTCTCGGTCATAGGTCTGCACACACAACCTTCATTCATAATATTATTTTATTATAAAAAGGCACTAACGAGTACTGGGAATATGTCTAAATATATCATTGAGGTTCACCCACTGATAATCCCAGTGTTCATGGTTGCAATAATTTGTACAAGATTAGACAAATCCTATTAAATATATGTTCCATTCGAACACAATGGTAATAAACAACCTTGGGACGAGAGGCAGGAATTTGGTAGAGAAAACAACTGATTTGAGTGCAGACTAAGTGGTTGAGTGAACAGGTTAACAGTGGCAGGCCTTTGAGCCGCTGTGACAGGGAGAAAGCAGCGCGAGGCTTTGCCACTGAAGGGGGAACTGACCCGGAAACACTGTGGAAGTGCAGCCAGCGTGGCCCTTTAGGAAAAATCTCTCCACAAGCATCTATCCGAATGTAAATATGCATGCACCATATCTCTCTTTCTTTTTATTTCTCTTTTTCTCCCCAATTCTGTCCTATATTGCAACAAGCAACCCCTGCATGGTTTTTGGGTAGTTCACAGACCTTCAAGTGAATGTCTGTCACTTCTCTTACCATTTAAGTCCAACTTGCTTATAGTAGTACTTATATATAAGCATTTAGCCCTACTCAATAGAGCTCGTCAGCTTGTAGTCCAAAAATACAGAAATTAGTTACCTTTGGTTCGTTCAGACATTCCTATGGGGAAAATGAATGGGGAAAGAATGGGGTTTTGGGATAAATGTCAAAAATAAGGTCTGAGGTTAACACAGGCTTAGGAGATCTTATACGTTTTGTTCTATGGGATAACATCAGTCAGTTAACATGGCCTTTATGAATTATAAAGCTTTTATGTGCTTTATGTGCTTGTTTTGATGACATAAATGCTGCAAAATTCACACAAAGTGACATTAGCTGATGAAGATTATTTTAGAACAAAACGTATAAGATCTCATAAGCCTGTGTTTACCACAGACCTTATTTTCGGCGTTTATCCGATAACCCTACAAAAAAATCATTAATTTCCCTATAGGCTTTGGCCAACGAGCCATGGCGGAGTTAGTGCCTACAAAAAGACGCCATTACTATTTATCTCTATTGAAGCTTAATATTACATTGGCAAGTAAACTACAAAGTAAATACATTGCTATGCTTACAACTGTTATACCTGTTCGCGGCTGGCACAATTTAAAACATTTGCAAATAAACTGTTACTGAAGATAAATTCATAACGTTAAGCAATAATAGTTGAGTAGGTGAACATAATTAATTAAATGTTACTTGGTAATGTAATGCACATAAAGGTTTATATGTGTAATCACACAAACTGCAGACAGGAATCACAGCTGTCACTTCAAAATAAAGTGGGACCAAATGATCACTTGGGGAGAGAAAAAAAAACAATAAACATGAATACTTATTGAAGCTTGCTGTATGACTGTTGAATATCTGAAGTAATATCCTGTAGCCTAGCATTATTATAGTCAAAATGTAATTCAACAAACTCAGAGATTGCAAATATTACAACATTTTATTGCATATTATCATCTTCATGATATAAGTCAACAGCTTTACAATCTGTCGTTTGAAATTATTTTAGATAATAACATGTAAAAAAAAAAAAAAAAAAAAGATTACAAACCAACATGGAACTGCAAAAGTAAGGCCATATTATTAAACTGTAATAAGACTGCACAGAGAGAAAGATATGTCAACAATTTAAGACTATAGCTACAATACTTAGAAAATCTTACCTGGAACTATCTAGGAAGCAAGCAACAACGAATGGTGGGATAATAAAGCTAGGCCTAATAAAGTGAACAAATAGTTCAGACATCAAATCCCAAACACAACATAAACATACATTCATTCAAATGTCATTACTGTACAAAATAAAATGGATCAAATAACAATAATGCATGCATAGATCATATTTTGGTATGGTGTGAATTCATTGATGAAAATAGCTGTGGGAGAAGTAGAAATAATAATAATAATATCCTTTATAATAATATAAAAATAATAACAACGTGTAGGCTACACTGACTATATAGGCTCCCCTTGGGCCCTAATCTTTATTTAAACTCACCCAAAACCATATCACTTTGTATTAACTTAATTATTTGCAATTGTGAAAGACTAAAAGTGGCACATGCATGTCGTGCATTGGTCAATGACGCAAATATCACGAGAAAGCCAGCATAAACTGAATAGCTCTATTATCTATGTATACTGAAGAAATGTGCATTTTCAGTGATGCTGAATTTGTATTAACATCCTTGAAAATAAAATAAAAAATACAACGTTATTACCACGTGTCAGTGGGTGCTCTAATTCCAAACGTTTTTGATTGCCATGGATGTCGACTGGGTAGCCTACATCCCTAAAAGTCATCCGTCTGCATCGAAAAGGCTAAAATATTTACCAGCGTTTGAAAAATAAATGTAAGGCGCGCTGTTTCCTGGATACATAACAGGGAAAGGCATTGGTAGCAAACATCCGCCCAATATGTTGCTATCTTTGTAAAGAGTTGGTAATTGCACATTTTTCCCGGCCTCTGAAAAGTGGTCGCCTGGAACTGGTCCTTCAATGTCCGTGGATAACTGTCGCTTCAATTTATTCCGACGATTCTGGAACCAAATTTTCACTTGAGTCTCGGTAAGTTGTAATGAGTTCGCCAGACATCCCCGTTCTGCACTGCTCAGGTACCTTTTCATGTCAAAGGTAGATTCCAGCTGAAAAATTTGCCTCTTGGAGAATATAGTGCGTGTTTTCTTCTTTGCCATTGCTTTGGTTTTCGAGTTGCCTTTATGTTGCTCAGATACATCGTCGCAGCTGCTAGTGCTCTCGGTCCTTGGACTAGTGTCAATCATCTTCGTCGCCTTGACGTCCTCACGGCAGACTGAAAGCGCACAAGCCGAGGCATCGTGGCGGGGGCTGTTTGTTTGCGCTGTGAAATGAAGCGATAAAACTTGTTTTGATGCAATGGTGACAACAACTCGTATATAATCTGTGACACCCACCCGACCACAGTAAGTGGAATATGAAAAATTACATAACCCAGAGTTTGAAATTGCCTAGGCTGGATAGTATTTTAATTGCTCAGCTGTTATAGTTTACCATAAATGAACACATGCAAAACCGAAATGGGCGATTTTAAGACAACCAAATAAGGGCTCACCTGTCTCGGTGTGTGTGTAGTTTGACTCATGCCTTCTTTGTTCATCGTAGTCCTCATATCGGTGGGTGAAAATATTTGTACAGCCGGCGTCGCTCTGCACGTTTGAGTCGTATGCATCCAAGTTGCTGTTGTTGTTTTGCTTCAGACTAAGAATATTGTCAATAGTGAATTTCAATGAAGCAGTCCGAAAGGGAATAACCGCCTTGTTCATATTCCCCGACATTTGCAGTTTTTATTGTGTTCTGAATGGTGAATTGAGGTCCCCAAAACATCGAAGACTCCAGATACTCCAAGCACCATTGCTCCTCGATTGCAACTACACTAGGGCGTAGGGTACCGTTTATTCAATGAACCGGAAGACTGTGGTTTAGCTGCTTTTGATTGGTGAGATTGCGAGGCAGCGTGAAGCCAAATAGGTGACGCCTATCAGATGAGAGCGGGAAGCATCCTTAGGCAAGACTGAAGTTAACCTCCTTGATTGTTTCCGCGTGTTTTCTTGGGAATATTCACGTTACAGTTAAAAGTGCCCAAACTATTTTTTAGATGTTTACCAATTCTTTTCAAAATTAGGCTACATGAATAATTGGCATATAGCTCAAATAGGCTATATATTCCACTCCATATATGCCTAAGTGATGTCACATCCATACAATTGAGACTTATATTAATCAGTCAGGTATGTACAGTTGTATCACCTTTTTGCTCCCATTAATCGTATTAATTGAAACGTTAACGCGGGCACTGATATTACCTCTCCAACAGATTCATCATAATGTTGTCTTGTAATTTCATTTGATTTTGAGTGTTACTCATTAGACAGCTATAGGGAGATTGGGGTTTTAGAAATGTAGGCTATGAGGCTAATAAATTATGTCAGGATATTCTAGATATTCTATTCAAATGTTCTAATTTGACGAAATCAGTTTCCATTATGTCTAATGCCGTTCATTTCAACTATTTCATTTAATGAATCATTTCAAACAACTTGATTGAACATTTCAGTCAATTCGAAGCGTTAAAAAACGGTGAAATCTTTCTTTACCCATGCCCCTGTCCTGAACCTAAACAAATAGCCTACACTGATAAACTGTTGAATAAGAAGAAAGGTATATTCAGTCGTCACTTTAAATGTCTGCATCTTCTCAACATTGGTGTGGAATTTCTAAAAGCATTTTTCCTTAACTTTTTGAATTGTCAACCAAATAAGGGCTAAATGCGGGGGCATACATAGTTTGTTGGTCTTGAAAATATCCTGGTGAATGTTTATGAATTTTGAAAGGGAAATTGCTTATTGCTCCAGTTGGATTAGGCTTTCAGTGTTATTTTCGATGGCCGTAGGCCGAGGCCTAGCCACTGGTCAGACAGAGCCTTACAGAGACTGGCTATCAACATAACAACAATTCGTGCTAATTATGAGAATACAAAGCAGGCCTTTTAATTAACACAATAAACATCAAACATGGTGTGCACTTTATCAATTTTATTTACATTAATCGGACAACTCGTGTACAAAATGTAATATGAAACCCACTTTAAATAGCCTAAGAATTATGAAATAATACAGTCCCGTAACCCCATGCTCGTAAAATGTCTATCTACAGGTGCCAAGTTTTGTCATTTAAAAATATTACAAACACACAAACTGGTAGACTAACCCATGACAATATTCCATCCAGTTTCCAAGTAAATAATCATATACATCGTATGATATGTGCTTAAGTTAAAATTCCCAAATGTAGTGTCTGGCTTGAGGGATTCACCTGTTAACATTTTTGTACACACTCAAATCAAGAAAATACACGGTAATTGCAACATGCGTATTAAAACAGAAGAGTTGCGGCCTATAGGCTAAACAGGTTGGTCAAATTGTTGTCGCCTTATGAATGTGGCTGTGATTTTGGTGATTTGCATAAAAGTCACCCTCAGCAATAAACTCCTGAGGGGATTGTCTCTACCACAGCATTTCCCAAACTCGGAAACCTCGGGACCCCAAGGGGTGCACGATTTGGTTTTTGCCCTAGCACTACACAACTAATTCAAGTAATCAACTAATAATCAAGCGTTGATTATTTGAATCAGCTGTGTAGTACTAGGGAAAAAATCTAAACTTGCACCCCTTGGGGTCCCCAGGACCGAGTTTGGGAAATGCTGCTATAGCATGTCCAATACGCACATTATTAGTTCAATATAATACACCAATAATGTGTGTCTCACACAAGGCCTGTGATCTGTGATCTTATAAAAGACATGGGGTGGGTGAACTGGGAGACGGGATAATTCACAGTACTCGAGAAACCCACTAAGGGTGGCGACACCTGTGCCAGGTTTGCGCTCAGTGTCCCAGGTGCCGCGTTCTCGTGGTATAGAATAGGAACCCTGACAATCCTTTGGGCCGAATACGAGATGCTCGTGGCCTCCATGTCGGCAGCTAGCTGTCTCTTCCACTTGTTCCTGCGATTCTGGAACCAAATCTTGACCTGCGTCTCGGTGAGCTGTAGAGAGGCGGCCAACCCCGCCCGCTCGGTGCTGCTCAGGTAGCGTTTCATGTCGAAGGTGGACTCCAGCTGGAAAACCTGAGTCCGGCTGAACACGGTGCGGGTCTTCTTCTTGCAAGCTGCTTTCGTATCAGCTGTTTCACTGTCTTCTCGTGCGAAGCAGGAAGACCCTGTTTCGTCATCCTTGTCATCTGTCAGACTGCCCTCTGCCCTCTCATCCGGTTGGTCGTTGTCTTCCACCGGCTCTGGTAGAGTGGGAGAATCCCGGTTGCTGGTTTTTAGGGAGTATCCGGGATCATCTGAGTTGCTGGAATGGCACTGCGGACCTGAAATGAACGAGGAGTGTCATGAGAGGGCCATTGGTAAACTGTTTCTGCTACATTTTACGCACAGGCCAATAGGGATCAATAAGTGCATGTATCTCTCAATCATGATATCAACCCTAATGGCAGCAGTGATAAGTGATTGCAGTTTTCGACGGTAGTCGGTTTTTTAAGTGCTGCGGGCAGGCCATAATGACCTCTTAGCTAGTAATGAAACATGTAATGAAACACAGCCTTGCAATTGTATGATAAGCATAATTATGGTGTATAAGCTTAATTTCCAATCAGTGTTACGTTTGAAATGTATCGAAGTGGCGTGCCATACCCCGTTTAAAGAGGAACCGAATGGAGATGTTTTACGCACGGGGTACGAGCGAATACACTAGTGCTGTTATGGTTTGTTGCAGGATGTATGGGCTATGCATGCCACATTCAATGCAGTGTTGTCTATTTTTACTGGCATGGCATGTATTGTGTATTGTCATTGGAAAGAAGAATATAAGCTAATAGGCTCTTACGCACAGAAACCTCAAAGCATTGTCGATAGCAGCTCTTTCACGTTGTTTTTATCTGAGGAAATGCGTAGGCTATCCTCAAATGCTCCTTATTGTGAAAGCGGATCTGCCTAAGAAGAATGTAGGCTATTAGCTAGTAAACAAGCTACCCTTACAGTTTGATGTGGTTATAGGTTACCCTATATGTCGCTTCCATACATAGGCTACATAGACAAATGGGACAATTAACAAAAGTGACACTAAAGCATACTCTGTAAATCACTGCAAGCTTTGTTTGGCGATGTCCCACACCAGTGGCGTTGGGCGTTTAATCCAAAGTAAGACACTTGACGCTCCACTTGGCTGCAGCGGCTCTCAATGACAGCGACTTGGTTGTAAGAGAGTCCGGTTTCCTTACAGTCCCCCTCATCTTCGGTCGTAGAACGCCTGTCTGTAGTCTTGGTAGTAGACCGAAGTAAATTCTCAATGGAAAATGATGAACTTCTTGATGTTGGACCATGATGTTCAGACTCCGGTGCCTTATCAAGCATATTTTGTCGTCTTCAAACCACCTAGTCACCGATAAAGAAATTACTTAAAAAATATTTACGTGCTGTTTAGACATTATTGGGTGTCTCTTTTGCTTTCTCTTAGTTATGCCTACTCTTTCTCTCGAAGTCCGTCGAGCTATCCATGAGAGTTCGAGATAGAGCGCGAGAATGTGAGAGAATCCGTAGATATACTATGGTAAATTCCACGGCGCGAGAACCACGCGCAGCAAAGAAATTGCGTCTTGCGATTGGACAGCGGAAGGCAGCGAGCAATATTACTCCAGATAAATAACAGAATTGCTCGCATTGAGCCCCCCTACTACACTGTGTGTTGGAAGGGACCCCGTCTCTCAGTTGCTTTATTTAGGTCAATTAGGGAACAAATCAAAGCAGAGATACGGCCGTGTCCCCGGGCTGGGATGCATGTTAGAAGAAGGGATGGCTTCTTGGAGAATGACACAGTACCTCCTATTGGTTACTTCTGTCTATGCACGCTCTAAATGTATTGTGCCATTCATATTTGAATGCATGCATTCTTTCTCGTGCAATAACTATTCCAATTGATAGGGGGATGGACACGTGCAATTCATAGAATATCAATAGACTATCAATAGCGTTTCACAATTTAGCTAAACACTTAACCCCTTCTCTAAAGGGTATATACATTCCAGGGTATAGGATTTCGATATTGCAGGAATTCATTTTTCATTATTCGTAATTATAATGTATTCATTTGTTTATTTGGATACCCATTCGTTTTTGCAGAGGCAGCAGCTACTCTTACTGGGGTCCACAAAAAACAAAAAACACAAAACATGACAAGTAACAAAACACTGACACTGATAGGCAAGGACAGTCACACAAATTTAAAATACAACGATATACAAACATTACAATAAAAAATGATGTGTGTGTTAGAGTGTGTCTGTGTGCTATGGCCGATAATAGTATTGTTAAGCAGCATATGGAAGCTATTGATCTGGGCCTAGTTTGCCTCTATCTGTAAGAGGCTTATTACATTCATATTAAGTTTAGTCAACATGTTTTTGTTTTTTCTTTGGCCTACTTTTGAAAGTTACTTTAGTGCCCAAAAAGTGGCCCAAGATATCTAATTCAAATAATGATATCGCTGTTATTGTAGGCCTACCTCAAGTTGTTTAGCCAAACTACCCAATATTAAATACATTTTTATAACAGGGTAAATTGAAGTGGTTTCCAATGTAGTCATATTTTAATATAATAAACGAACAGAAATTATGCAAAACTGCGTGTGAAATATCGTGTCTTATTGGGCCTGAAATTCAAATATAAGCTGTGCATTGTGTAGTGTATTGTATTGTGTATTTTATTAATTTAATGTGTTCATTTTTCATTGAATGGTTTCAGGCAAGCAATGCCATGCCGCTTTAGAGAGTTTTGTATATTAGGGTGATGATTATGATGATTATGATGATAATGATGATTATTAGGCTTTTATTATTATTATTAGTATTATTATTACATTTTTTCATAAACTCTGCTATTACTTCTAACTTTTTATTTTATTTCCAATTGCACATTATGCTCTAAACCTGGCCAGTAAAACATCAAACAGTCCCAAAACAGTTTCCCGAGTGCCTTCAACCCAATTCAGTAAAACTAAGCCATCATTAATATTCAAAATGTTTATTGAATGTTATAGGGTTCAGTCCTGAGCTTTAATAGAGTGCAGTACTATTCAATATTTGCTTTAATAATCTTTATCGTGATAAATGTTAGGTTAAAATCACATTTGCGTGGTAGAGAAATGGGGCGTTACCCTAATAGTCAGATATTTGTGGTGTTTATTTAGAATTTTGGACACCATACCCATGCACTGGCGTGGTGTGTCATAGTAATCACAGAGATGTAAAGTATTATCTTTATTATTATTATTATTATTATAAATCCATGTATATACAGTAGGCTAATAGCCCATAGGGTCAGTAATTTGAAGATTAACTATTAAGTGTTTATTGATTCATTGAAAAAACAAACCACTCAGATAACAAATCAGAAATCCCCTAACACGATAATTTCTCTCATCAGTAGTTACAGCAGATAGACAAAATATTCATTTAAACCTCCATTTAAATGACTAGATTTAAGGTTTTCCCAATATGTTATTTTAGATTGACTTCATATGGATTTTTACTTTTTCTTACATTCTTACAAAGTCTCAGCAAAGTTTTTTTTGTAGAATTTAGGATTGTTGATGGACCACCAAGCTATGTCCACCTATTTCTGAAAACGTAATCTCTTTAATTTCCTGTGCTTTGTAGGATGAACCTTTTTTAGTTTAGTTGACTAATTTGTTCATTTGTTTTTAATTGTGATATGAACTGTGATAACCCTTCAGACATCACAAATGTTTCATAATTATCTAATGATAAACATATGATGTGACTAATTGTGCATTTTACCCATTGCTGGACTTGAGAACATGTGACTCACCTCTAAGCGAGGATCCTATGGCCTATGCAGATATCATATTTCAGGGTCTGCAGCTCTTGCATGACGCCAAAGAGTCTTGTGTTGGTTATCCTGTAGAGACTATGTGAGAATGTGTGACTAGGGCGGCATAGCCTTTCGCCTGCATCTATTACTATACTGCATGAAAATAACTACACTATAACCTTATACAGTGTCTTCACCTTAAAGACACCCATTGAAAAACACTACTGAGAGAAAAACACAGGTGAAAAATACATTGGCTGCGGCACTTTACATTAAGTGGCTCTAAAACCTAGGCAGACATGTAGGCACACTTAAAAAAAAAACTTACAACAGTGATGTTAATTTGCAGTTTGTGTAATAAAACATTGGACATTTTATATGCATTAGGTTTGTACACAAATTCTAATAATTGTGGTTAAATCTCGCCTCAATCTAGAAATATTGCTTTAGATTGCAGTTTATATATCCTTTAAATTGTGCAAGCCACAAAGTATAACAGTTGAACTCTGCTGCAGTGTGTACCCACATTGTACTTACATTGCATGTGTGACCCAAAATACAATATCATTTACAAATAAATTTGAAATCATGATGTTTTCAAAAATATCCAACATACCCCCAAAAAATATGTAACAATGCAACATTGCTTGATTATCATGAGTTATAGGCCGTGTCTAGACTTGACAGTTCATGCAGCTTTAGCATTCTGATCATAAAATTCTGTTAAATGTTTCTATCGTGTCCCCAGTGTGTCCGGATTTCCTTTTCCCACGCTATATTCAAATGCCAGTATGCATTCTACAAACGGTGGAATAGGCAAAATATGATAATAACACAACAACAACTGATGGCAGTAGCTAACTACTGTAGCTAACTAGCCAGCTAACCTCTGTAGCTAGCCAGCAAGCTAGCAAGCAAAGCTAAAGGGATTGGAAACGGGTTAGCATAATTCTAAAAATCATGGCTAGCATTTATGTCAGTAAACATATTCCTCACACGCTAGGAACATATTTCCTCCAATGTTATAATGAAAAGGTGCCTCGGTTCCAAAACACACGTTTTCTGTAGACTTGTGGGAGGAATGCTGATGACGTCGCCCACTGTATGCGCTTTCGGTAGCCTGATTGCGTCCAGTCTGAGTAGAAATCCGCACACAATGCATCACTGACTACCTCCTGAAGTGGTCACAATCAGACCACAAAGCAACTTTTGTGCGTCTAGACCAGCCTTTTCAATGCGATCTTTGAATTCTGATAGCAGAAGTTGCATGTAAGTGTCAAGTGTAGACACGACCATTGAGACATGTTGAATCCTTACACGAATACGAGAGGACAGGACATCCAGCCTTCAGAGAGATTTGCTCTGTTCAATCTGTATCGCTGAAGTGTTACTGATTGCGCAAAATAAATGTAAAGGTCATTTCCGATTGAGCCGACATATGCAGCGTTTACCGTGAATGCAGCCTCCGCTAACGCAGGAACATTGCAATCACGCTGTATCGCTGAACTTCACATTCCTTCAAGCCCTTACACTCGTTATTCCTTCTATACTCCTGGATATGACCATCGGATGATCAATCTCACTGATATGACAATGGCATTATATGATATATGACCCCTGGTATACAAAACAAACACAGGCACGCAGGCCCACATGCAGTCACATACAAGTACACACACACACACACACACACACACACACACACACACACACACACACAAAACTATAGATTTTTATTTTGCAAGTTAGGGGTGGAGAGCTATAGATTGAGACTGAAGGGGGTCCTACACTGGAGTGTTTACGGACATATTCAATCTCTATATTCCAATCTGTTGTCTCCACTTGCTTCAAAATGTCAACTATGGATCTTGTACCCAAGAAAGCGAAGGTAACTGAACTAAATTACTATCGCCCTGTAGCACTCGCTTCTGTCATCATAAAGTGTTTTGAAAGGCTAGTTAAAGGACCATATCACCTCCACCTTAACCCAACACCCTAGACCCACTAAAATTCACATTTCGCCCCAGCAGATCCATGGATGACACAATCGCCATTGCACCGCACACTTCCCTATCCCACCTGGACAAGAGGAATACCTATGTAAGAATGCTGTTCATCAACTACAGCTCAGCCTACAACACCATAGTGCCCTCCAAGCTCATCACCAAGCTCAGGGCCCTGGGTCTGAACCCCTGCCTGTGCAACTGGGTCCTGGACTTCCTCACGGGCCGACCCCAAACGGTGAAGGTAAGCAACAACACCTCCACCACGCTGATCCTCAACACGGGGGCCCCAGAGGGGTGCGTGCTCAGCCCCTTCCTGTATTCCCTGTTCACCCATGACTGCCTGGCCATGCACGTCTCCAACTCAATTATCAAGTTTGCTGACGACACAACATTGGTAGGCCTGATTACCAACAACGATGAAACCAGGCGGAGTAGTGCCAGGAAAATAACCTCTCCCTCAATGTCAACAAAGTGAAGGAGCTGATCGTGGAACTACAGGAGACCACAGAGAGAGCACGCACCCATCCACATCAACAGGGCTGAATAAATTCAGCGTGGCCCCTAAGACCCTCACAAACTTCTACAGATGCACCATTGAGAGCATCCTGTCGGGCTGTATCACCGCCTGGTACGGCAATTGCACCTTCTGCAACCGCAGGGCTCTCCAGAGGATGGTGCGGACAGCCCAATGCATCATTGGGGGCACACTGCCTGCCCTCCAGGACATCTACAGCACCCAGTGACACAGGAAGT